GCATCATGCGTCCCCGTGCTTATATGTTCATAAACATGTTTTTTTGGACGATCCCCACCTGGCAGACAATAACCCTTGCTTACTAGTCGTAGTCAGAAGCAAGGCATTTTAGCGACGAGCTGCCGGCCTGCTGTTGTTCTCGCTCGAGGGCCAGTGCTTGCGACAGCCTAGGCCGCAGTAGAATGCCGAGCCCTAGCACATTGTGTGCCTCTTGGGCATTCGGAGGTAGTTGTTCTGCACTGCCGTCGTGGGACTGGACAAAATCTCCTTCCTGAGAGCCTTTGGGTTGAGCTACATGTTGCCGTGAAGCTGCGGCCATGTCCGAAATAGTGGAGAGACTCAGAGCCGGAGAGCTCTGATTGGCATGGACTTTTGGAGCCGAGGCTGAAGCTCTACAGTACATGGAAACATTTTTGTCCAGCATACTCCTTGGGATGGGTTATGGGCAACCGCATGATATGACTTTGCAGCTGCCATGGCCGCGAGACTTATGGAGGGCTGTCGATCCCAACTTGTGTACCAGCCATCCCTCTCGGGGCTGAGCCGGCTCTTCAACCTCGGCTGTCGCCATGAGAATCTAAACTTGCTCACAGCAAGGGACGCTGGCGGAGGGGTGGCAAGCTGCCCGACCAAGTCTAGCTCGCCTTACCTGTGACATCCTGTCTTGCTGAAGCAGAATTGTTTTGCCTAGGGATGGTTGCTGCCCAGGTGCTCTACAGCAAGCGGAGGGCTGGTCCGCTGCCTTTGCACATCTGCTGCTTTTCTTGCTTCGAACCGTTTCTAGTGCAATCTACAGCTTGAAGCATGGTTCTGCACCATGTGCAAGTGCGCGGGCTTTCACGAATTCCGTCCCTAAAGCCACAACATGTACTCTGCCCTGCCACCTCTTCGGGCGTTCAATCCTCGAGGGAGCACGTAAGGGTGTCAAGGATGTGAGGTGCGGAAATCTCGCCACTCCGTCGGATGCGATCGTTGGCTACTCGATGTGCGACCCTCGGAAAACTTTCTCGGAAATACTACCATCAAAGAATTGGGGCCAGGCCTGCTCGCTTGAGGTGGACGGACCTCAGCTGCATCAAGCCCCACATCAAACCTTGTCGGGTGTTGCATGCCATTGCAGGCTACCCGCCACTACTTTGAAAGGTTAACCGGTGATGCTTACGAAGCTTGGTGCAATAGATTCGACCACAAACTTGATATAGCACGGCATAGACAAGGCCGCTGAAAAGCTCCTTCTGCAGTCTTGCTTCACCCAGTTCCTTTTACAGGCGGAAAGGCATGTGTAAAAAGTGGTTGGGGCAGCTGCTTAACTCCTGAAACTACATAAGCTGAAGTCTAGCTAGGATTACGCAAACATTGCTGCTGCTCGGGGATCATGCCAGCCTTCTCTTACTCCTCTTTTGCTGTCAGCATATGTGTCGTCAGTGAAGCTGTTCTCAATCTTGCTCTCCTACCGACGGGCCGGGTGCTCCACCAACATCCTGATGTTGTGAATGGTCGCACGTCGTGCAGATCCAGCAAGATTGCCCAACAGCACGAGCACAAGGGGAAGAGCGGGAGCACTGTACAGCTGAGCCCCGCAGAGACTGCCCCGCAGAGACTGGAGCGAGAAAGGTGCCAAAACACCTTGGCCTGTATCATCGAAAAGGCCCATTTCTCTGCAACCCCAAATTGACATTGGACATCCTGTCACGCTTCGAAAAGAACCTGCAGCTGCCCTTTACATTCCCTGGGCTACCAGAAGGTCAGCGAACCCGGCGGCGGCTTTGCGAAGCTGGCCCAGGATAGCATAGAGCTCCTGCGGGGTGCGATCTCTATAGAAAGTATGTGTGCCATTCAAAATCTTTGGCCTGGCAGGGCTTGGGATTTCTCAGGACTTTTTAGAGACCTTGGACGAGCAAGCTTGTTCCGAAGCTTTGGCTACGCACTTGGCCTCGCCCCTCCGGTCGAAGCGGCACAGAAGCACGTTTGACTGTGTGCACACAGCCACGAAGCCAACGCCTGGGCTGTGCCAGTCACAGAAGCGAAGGGCTCCGAACAATAGGGTGCACCAGCTCTCCCTGGGAAAAATGCACATGGTTCTGGTATTTCGGTACGGTCTCAAGATGGATGTTTTAGCACCAAAGAAAAACGGACTCCAATGCAGCCTCCGGGTCCCTCGCGTGTCCACTCTCTGCTGACCGCAATCAATGTCGGAAAGAAGTCGTCCTGCACGGGAACGTGCTTCGACTATTCCTGAATGCTTGAGAAACTCCAGCATCGAATCGTGATCCCAGCGCTAATCACAACATGTCGCAATATCAAGAACCGGAGATCAAAAAAGACAAAACAAGGATCCAACAAAAAAGAGCCAAATGACATGCTATGCATGAGGGTGTCAAAGAGCGCGGGGAGGGTTGGTTGTGGTGCTGCCCCACCCCTTAGCAAACCATGGAGGAATTTGGTCGTTGTTGATGGGGTTGACTACAAGACATGATACGGGTTCATGCGAGTGAGGAACGTGGCAGCTGTTGTTAATTATAAGGATTCATGATTAGATATGACATCGGCTCATGTTCAAAAAAGCAAGGGTTTTGGGGGGCCCGCTATTGAGGAATGTGGCAATTGTTGATGATGATTCACGACTGGTGCAGTACCCCCACCCGTTTGCAAACCATTGAAGAACGTGCTGCAGTTGTTGAGAGGGACCCCACATTGAGAAATGAGCAATTGTTGATGATGATTCACTACAAAACATGGTTTGCGCTTACAAAAAGCAAGTGGGTTGGTGGGGCACAGCCAACCGGTTTTGCAAACCATTGAGAAATGTGGCATTCGTTGATGAGGATTCACCATGGACAGGTCATGATATATTGACGGAACACGATGAAAATGATGGAAAGTCATGAACATGATAAGGAAGAATGGAAATGATGAACTATGAAAGAGCATGATGAAGTTGCATTTTGCAAAATGAGGAACATGGATGCCACCTGATGGAAGACTTGAAAAGTTATGGAATATAACGAAACCCATATGAGCAATCATGAAAATGATGAAGCATGCTCACACACAATGAAATGTGATTACAAGAAGATGGAAAAGACGAAAACCAAAAGGATGTAACACATTCTGAAAAATAATGGACAATGGACGAAAGATACACGGTGAGACATGGTCAAAACTAGCGAACATGATGAAAATCATGAAGCTGATGGAAAACCGATGAGAAATCATGAAAAACAATTGCACATGATGGACTACATGGTCCTCTATGCTGAAAACGGTGGTATGTAAAAAAGACATATGGTGAGTTGATGGAAATGGTGGAAATGATGAACATGAAATGTGTTGAAGGAGGATGAAAAGCTGCAGAAAATCATGAGCGATGAAATTGTGATGAAGCATGGCGGAAAACCATGGAGTCTGTTGAAAGTTGACGGCCTTCCTTCCTTTCCTTTCTTGCTTCCTGTCTTGGAACGTCCTCACTTGTGTTCTATTGTTCTGGCAGGTGGAGAGGATTCTCCTTCTGATTGATCTTTAGTCAAAAATCTTCATGGTCCTTATTTGACTCTTTGTTATTCATACTTAGTTGGTTGCGCTGTGTTTTTTCCGCGTTGGATCCACATTCCCAAAAACATCATCATCAGCAGCATCATCATGATCATCGTCAACACAATCGCCATACCAAACACTGCACTTATCTTGATGTGACAGTAATTCATTTCCTCATCACCACAACGCATGGAGGATTTGCCCTTGCTTCTTTCAATCCGGATGTTGCAGTCCTTATCATGGCGCAGGATTCGCATCTTCTGCCCTGCCAGCCAGAGTCCTCCCTCGGGGGCCAGGCCCGTCCTTGGTCTGGCTGAAACCAGGATACACCACAGCTGGAACCATGGGACTGGGACTGCATGTACAATGAGCGGACATGAAGTACCAATCCTGAATTTCAGACTGAATCACACATGTGCCGGTATCAGTGTTCACGACTGGTGGATCCTGGGCGGGCGAACTGGCTCAAGTTTCAGCCCCACACATCCTGAAATCAGCTCTGAAAAAAGTTTGTCTAAATGGTAGCTGATCAAAATCCCGTCGCCCAAACCATTGCATGACCTCCACTGCAACTATCCAAAGTCCTTTGTAAAGTCGCGAGCAGCTCCCTGAAATCTTGATACATCTCAACATCTCACGTGTATCTCTGCAATGCTAAAACCCTGAAAGATCTGCCAGGGCACTGCGCGGTTTGAAGCAGGCAGCTACTCTCCTTGATCAACCTGGGTCTTTCGAGTCTCTGTTGGTCTCCGGGGCTTTTAAAAGTTCACCTTATCCCAGGCATCCTTAGTGTGGGTTCCCGTGCAGTCGAACAGGCTCTGGAAGTTCAAGAACTGCCATGATCGTCGGCACATACTCGGCTTTGTTCGGCTTTCGCAAAAGCCCCAAACTAAGCTGAGCCACATCTTGCCTGTGGAGCCGTCATCAAGCGTCACCTGAATTTCTCTTTCATCAACGTCACATATCCAACCCTGAGCCCTAAATCGCTGGCTGTCAGTGCATGATCTCACCTCTCTCGTGGAGTCTTCCGCCCGGAGCGAGGAGGTTCCTGACAAGTGCATTGGGACGAGTCATGTGGGGCAAATGTGTATCAGGGGAAGGGCGTCGGATGATTCGTGAGGTGCTGGTTATTGAGCCGCAGACCAAACAGTTGCCTAGTTGAGGCGGCTCAGGTGCCTGACATAGTGTAGGCGAAATCTCAGAAGCATGGCCGGAAGCATACTTGACGACAGCTGATGCAACGCGGCTCTACTCATACTGAGCTTCGTCCCGTGGACTGGATGCAGCTTCATCGAAGTACATCATGTTTGTCGGAAATCATCTCGAACAATTTTCCTTCCGGACTGTTTGCAACCAAGGAGAGCTCGAAGCGAAGGCAAAGTATGAGCAGTGACATTTTGACAATGGTTTCTGTGCATGCCCCATTGGCAGACCCCGGTAAAACGCGTCAGTACCCTTGGGCTCTTGGTGGGCCGACGATCACGACATGACTCTGATCCAAAAAGCACCCTGACCCCCTGATTGGATTCCCAAACTGGCCTGAGCTTGCTACAGGAACATCGACTCTGCAGACAAGACTGCCAAGCTCTCCCCAACAGAATTTCAAACACCTAACCCTAAACCTCGAGCCCCATGCCAAACCTCGAAACCCTAACACTTTGCGTGAAGCTGCCTTTGGGAGAGGAAGCGAAAAAGAGCCCATCTGACAGGGAGGCGATGCCAGCAGCAGTGAAGTGGTAAGTATCGACCAAGAGGTCCTTCCGAACATTGTCTTCATGGCACTGACAATGATATGCAACACTATGGTGCGAGACTCGCAAGCATGAGGATGAAAGCACTGGCCCGTGCAACAGCAGCAGATGAGGTTCTTAATTTCAGCTTTGCTCACAGTAAGCTTCTGTAAGGATAAGCCAGGTCAGCCACAGCAGTGCATGCAAAGCTTGTTGCACGCAGGTTCAATCTGCCGCCCCCTCTGTCAGCCTGTAGTACGCATGAGGTTTTACATACAGTTTAGGATTTACAATGACAACACACAAGTTCACAAGCCTTGCGTCCTGCAGCTTCTCGTCCCACTTGCGAGAGACCATTGCCTGACACTCGCTCAGGCAACATTAGTTAGAGCATTGTAAGAAAACTGCATAGCAGGTCGTTCATCATCTGCTTCTCGGCTACCGAGCTGCTGTCACTTCGCAAGGTCCAGGCGAGCCTGGCAACTGCCCAACCTGGCACCGCTCAAACAATGAAAGCTTTGAAACGGCAAGTGTCCATTTTCAGCACAAACGTACAGAACACTTTGCATGACAGCCGCTGCATGGGTCTGCAGAATCAGTCTTGCAACTCGCTCTTGAGATTTTACCTCCGCTGCACGTCGTAAAAGATCAGCCACAGCGCGCCCATTCATAGTATAGGGCCTTCTGTTCAAGTCAACACTACGGGCTAAGCATCCCAAAGGTCAGATAGAACCCTTTAGCTACAGGGCGGCTGCAAATGGCTCGGCTGACAGTTCAAACGCTCGCTCCGCGAGCGCCCGCTTTTTTGGCGAATGAAGGGCATCCTACATCACATAGCGTTTCCCCTGTGGCACACAGTCAGCAATGCATTTGTCTTCAGCTCGTAATGCAAAGGATCACTGCGGCATCATGACATCGGCCAAAGCCCCAGATGCACTGAGGATTTTCTTGCTTACTGGAACCTTTGTGTTGCCAGCCGCTTCTTCATATTTGCTACCGATCACGTCAAAGTAGAAGTCGCCTGCGTTCTTGATCGTGGACAACACAATGGCTGTCAGAAAGGCAAAGTGTGCAACCTGGGAATGCCACAGAACAACTGCCACTAGCATGGTGGCTGTGGAGAAGGCTAGGTGGAGTAGCAGGTACACGAGCTGCACGAGCAACTTTGGCCACTTTTTGAGCAAGCTCTGCAGAACTGGACCCACTGGCTTCATGACAAGAATTCGATCCCAAAGCGTCTGATAAGAGTGCCGTTCAATGTACGATCCCAAGGCGATGAAAATCCAGACGTAATACAGAACCAGCCACCACAAGTAGAATCCGATGAGCGTATCCCAAATCAACTGGAGGGCGGAGATGTCGCTGCATGTCTCATTGCTTGGACAGACCTGGAAGTGTCTGGCCCCAAGGCCCTCGTCAGAGACAGGGGCGGCATGCCAGCGTAGGCCGAAGGACAGCAGGAGTGGAGAGACGTGGACCACCACGGAGGTCATGTGCGCATAGGAGTGGAACACCATGGCATGGTTGAACGCCAGCACACTCCATGCCAGTGGCCCATTGGCGCACATAAACACCACCCGGAAGACACGCGGAGACTTCGGCATCACCCAGCAGTAGAAAATGCAAAGGAAATTGGCCCAGTAGCAGAAATCCCAAAGAAGGAAATGCTGCTTCCGGCGGTAGAACTTGACCAGTCGCAGAACAATAAGTGCCAGCACCTTAGGAGTGAAGTAAACGAAGTAGAGAGCCGGGAAGGCCCCCACGAGATAGGCGCTGAGCACCAAGTTGGCCACGCCAATCATGAACCATTGCTTGTCCACTTCGATGGCCTTCTTTGCCAAGGCCTGCTGTCGCTCTCCACGCTCCTGCAAGTCATTCAGCTGAGCAAAGGCTGCCACCACCTTCGACTGCCGGCTCACAGCCAGCAAGACTGCAAAGGCAGGCAGGAGGACCAACCCGAGATAAAGGGCGTCCGAACCAATGTCATAATGGGAATGCATGGTGCTGGCTACTGGGGATTCGAGCCGTTCGCGGCTCCTTAACAAAGAACTTCGCAAGCAAAGCTACGCATCCTCAATCTCAAGTTGCAGACCACACAACACAACGACACATGCCAGGCAATGCCTTTTGGGTGTCTCTGAGCAAGTCCGTGCCACTCAGCAGCGCTACCTGGCACAGCCATGTGAGTCACTTCGTGATGCTTCCGTGCAAGCAGTTGCACTTATTACTTCAAACCAGCAAAATGCTTCTGGGGCACATGAGCGCAGCAACGTTTCAAACTCTTGCTAGGGTTCCTTCACTATGGACTGCAAGCACACCCAAAACGGAATCAACCGCAGGCTTTGACGTTACAGCTTTGCACAAAGGGACGTGGAGCCCTTCCCCCCCAAAAAAAAAGGTGCACAGTCCTGCACGAGAAGGAAAGAGTCATCTATATTATCTCCCTCATGCCCGCTAGCCGTGGCCTGGCCACAAGGCGCGGCCAAAGCATCAGCAATGCGAAGTCCTTGGCTCGCGCAGTGCGCTGCGGAGATAGGGTGGGGAGTGGCGGTAGAGGTGAGTGATCAGGCCAAGAGCAATAGCCAGAATGCTCATCAGCACCGTCATGAGTCAAGGCAGTTGTGTCATAGCACAAATTAATACACATCTGATTAACATTGAAAAACGATGAATAACAGCCATGCTCAAGACGATAGTCTTCACCATGCCTTCTCAACATGCTGAAGTTATATGTCTAAGATGGTCTAAGACTGTGTCCCTTTCTGTTGCCCATCTGATTGCACTCTCGAAGTCTTCCAGCCCGTTGTCTCAAAACAATCAGCGCCACTGATGAAATTGGGTTGAGTGTGGTGCAAACCGGTCAGAATTGTGCCCCACCTCAATAAACTTACTTGCCCACGGCAATGCTTGTGACATCTCAGGTGCAGCGGTACACCCAGAGTGCCCATGATCCTGTGGAAACTCATCTGTGCTACCTGGACGTACCCAACCAAAACAAAGCTAGGGCATGCCTTCTCATCCCCAAACTCATCGGCGAACCTCAAAGTATCAGTGAAGCCAGGTCACGAAGCTGGGCAATGGATTCACCTGGGCCAGAGGAAATTCTTCGGCAGCTGAAACCAGGCCAAATTCTTGGAAGCAGCAGTTGTTGTGACAGCAGCGGGGCATGGGGGAGAACGAGGGGCTAAGGCAGCGAGACAGCAGCAAAAGAGAAAATGGCTCTGCGGCTGCATGAGGGCCTGGGATCCCGGAAAGAGAAGTGATGATGGAATACCGGCATGCTTGGAGGTTGTCAGGTAGTTTTGTGGCGGCACGCTTGCAATGTGTCGCAGTGATCAAACTTCAAAGTCAAAAATGTATGATGCCATGTGGCTGAGCAGGGTCACCACAAACTCTCGAAGCAGGGTTGGTCCCCAGGCTTGCATCTCCAATCTTGTGGAACTGTTTCCATCCCTGAATGACCCTGACAGCACAAAGAAGACAAGGGCCCTGCAAAGCGAAGCTACAGTACTGTAACAGGTCAACAACCAGACTTTGGGCATGGTTGACATTCGACAATTGTTTGCCTCCTCAGGCCTTGCAGTGCGGGAGAAGACAGGGTGATCGACGCTCCAGAGACGAGATTCCTTGCTTGGAGATGCTTGGAGTATCCATGGGTAGTTTGATACTATAAGTTGGGTGACCCTTGTTATATAACCTGGTTCTATGGGGGGTTCTAACCCCACCTCTAAATACCCAGTAACCTCCAAGTCAAGGGAGGGCTTCTCCAAGTAATACCCTGTTCTGCTGATATGCGCACCCAGTAAAGCCCCCGGGTCAGCAAGGCATCATTTACAGTGTTGATTGCGCGAAGCATCGAGTAGTGGGGTTTGCCAAGAGTCCTGATCCCCTGTAGCTCAAGAATGCGTAGTCATTGGTTTGTCCTTGCAAGAGGTGACGTCCTGGAAAAGAGGTGTGGCTAGCCTGCTGAAACCAGATGCAGAGACAATCGTCTCTACAGTTGAGCGCTGCACCCGAAAAGAAATGCAAACCTTGAGATCTTTAAATGAAAAAATAGGTGGTCTGGGTGCAGGCAATCTAGCAATCTGACATCACCATACGACTCAGCCAGGGGACACCGACAAAGACACCTCTTCACCCATACCTCAGGCACAGCAATGCTTTCCAAGGTAGGACGGACTTCAATCTGCTGTCCTTTCCTGTTTGCTCAGCTCCCAAGTTCAAGTGGAATGGTTCAATCATTTGAGTTCAGGCCAACTCCCTAGCCAGGATGCTCGTACGTGTGCTTTTCGTACACTTCCCTTGGTTGGCAGTTTCATCTGTGCAGTATTTCAGTTAGGTTGCCTTCCACGGCTGCCGCCGCCACCGCCATGTTCTGAACCGTGGGGTGGGCGCTAGCCGCAAGACGGGTCAGCAGCTTCTGTTGCTGCNNTGGTCCATGAGCCAAAGGCCAATGCAACTTACACGGGTGCTCTGAACACATTGGTCGTACAAAGCGGACTTGTACTTCATTTGCCAGACTCTGCTTGATGGTTTTGTTAGGGGGTGGCCCGCACAAAACCCCAGGTGGGCAAGTGCCTAGCTGAAACCAGACTGGTGTGATCCAGCTTCATTTGTCAAACTCTGCAGTCCCTACTTTTACCTTCTGGACTTGCCCATGCACGCAAAAATCCCGACAGCACCTACATTGCCGACAGTCGCACAGAAGTACAGGCCCATGGCACGTGCCAAGCGTTGATATCATGCCGTAAGCTCCACAGCAAGACACATGAGCCGAAAGAAAATAAAAATGTTCATAAATTCATTACCCAGAGGTTCACCATCAGTTTTAACTGGGGNNTGGGGTTATTTTTTCGGCTCACATGAGGTTGTATAAAACCCTCTTCCCTATCGCTCCGCGCACTAGTTAACAAACATGTCTGCCTGTAATCATAAAGAGACAGTACTCAAGCAAGATTTCTTGCAAGAGGA